GGAGTGTGTCAGTGACGTTCTGTGGGGGAGTGTGTCAGTGACGTTCTGTGGGGGAGTGTGTCAGTGACGTTCTGTGAGGGAGTGTCAGTGACGTTCTGTGGGGGAGTGTGTCAGTGACGTTCTGTGGGGGAGTGTGTCAGTGACGTTCTGTGGGGGAGAGTGTCAGTGACGTTCTGTGGGGGAGTGTGTCAGTGACGTTCTGTGGGGGAGAGTGTCAGTGACGTTCTGTGGGGGAGTGTGTCAGTGACGTTCTGTGGGGGAGTGTGTCAGTGACGTTCTGTGGGGGAGAGTGTCAGTGACGTTTTGTGGGGGAGTGTGTCAGTGACGTTCTGGGGGGGAGTGTGTCAGTGACGTTCTGTGGGGGAGAGTGTCAGTGACGTTCTGTGGGGGAGTGTGTCAGTGACGTTCTGTGGGGGAGAGTGTCAGTGACGTTCTGTGGGGGAGTTTTGTCAGTGACGTTCTGTGGGGGAGAGTGTCAGTGACGTTCTGTGGGGGAGTGTGTCAGTGACTTTCTGTGGGGAGTGTTCAGTGGACGTTCTGGGGGGGAGAGTGTCAGTGACGTTCTGTGGGGAAGTGTGTCAGTGACGTTCTGTGGGGGGGGGTGTCAGTGACGTTCTGTGGGGGAGTGTTGTCGTGCGTTCTGTGGGGGAGAGTGTCAGTGACGTTCTGTGGGGGAGTGTGTCAGTGACGTTCTGTGGGGGAGTGTGTCAGTGACGTTCTGTGGGGGAGAGTGTCAGTGACGTTCTGGGGGGAGGTGTGTCAGTGACGTTCTGTGGGGGAGAGTGTCAGTGACGTTCTGTGGGGGAGTGTGTCAGTGACGTTCTGTGAGGGAGTGTGTCAGTGACGTTCTGTGAGGGAGTGTCAGTGATGTTCTGTGAGGGAGTGTGTCAGTGACGTTCTGTGAGGGAGTGTGTCAGTGACGTTCTGTGAGGGAGTGTGTCAGTGATGTTCTGTGAGGGAGTGTGTCAGTGACGTTCTGTGGGGAGTGTCAGTGACGTTCTGTGGGGGAGAGTGTCAGTGACGTTCTGTGGGGGAGAGTGTCAGTGACGTTCTGTGAGGGAGTGTGTCAGTGATGTTCTGTGAGGGAGTGTGTCAGTGGCGTTCTGTGGGGGAGTGTGTCAGTGACGTTCTGTGAGGGAGTGTGTCAGTGACGTTCTGTGAGGGAGTGTGTCAGTGATGTTCTGTGAGGGAGTGTGTCAGTGACGTTCTGTGAGGGAGTGTCAGTGATGTTCTGTGAGGGAGTGTGTCAGTGACGTTCTGTGAGGGAGTGTGTCAGTGACGTTCTGTGGGGAGTGTGTCAGTGACGTTCTGTGAGGAAAGTGTGTCAGTGATTTTCTGTGGGGGAGTGTGTCAGTGACGTTCTGTGAGGGAGTGTGTCAGTGACGTTCTGTGGGGGATTTGTGTCAGGGGACGTTCTGTGAGGGAGTTTTGTCAGTGATGTTCTGTGAGGGAGTGTGTCAGTGCGTTCTTGAGGGAGTGTGTCAGTGATGTTCTGTGAGGGAGTGTGTCAGTGATGCTCTGTGAGGGAGTGTGTCAGTGACGTTCTGTGAGGGAGTGTGTCAGTGACGTTCTGTGAGGGAGTGTGTCAGTGGCGTTCTGTGGGGGAGTGTGTCAGTGACGTTCTGTGAGGGAGTGTGTCAGTGATGTTCTGTGAGGGAGTGTGTCATTGACGTTCTGTGAGGGAGTGTCAGTGATGTTCTGTGAGGGAGTGTGTCAGTGATGTTCTGTGAGGGAGTGTGATAGTGACGTTCTGTGAGGGAGTGTCAGTGATGTTCTGTGAGGGAGTGTGTCAGTGACGTTCTGTGAGGGAGTGTGTCAGTGACGTTCTGTGATGGAGTGTGCCAGTGACGTTCTGTGAGGGAGTGTCGGTGATGTTCTGTGAGGGAGTGTCAGTGACGATCTGTGAGGGAGTGTTTGTGACGTTCTATGAGGAAGTGTGTCAGAAACATTCTGTGAGGGAGTGTGTCAGAAACATTCTGTGAGGGAGTGTGTCAGAAACATTCTGTGAGGGAGTGTGTCAGAAACATTCTGTGAGGGAGTGTGTCAGAAACATTCTGTGAGGGAGTGTGTCAGAAACATTCTGTGAGGGAGTGTGTCAGAAACATTCTGTGAGGGAGTGTGTCAGAAACATTCTGTATGGGTTTGTGTCAGAAACATTCTGCGAGGGAGTGTCAGAAACATTCAGAAATAAAATACATTCCGTTCATTCTACTCTTTCCAGCCTAGTCCTCGTCATCCTATTACGTCAGGGAGGATTTACTTTTTTCCGAAGTCATGCTGGTGGTGCTACAAAATATGAAAAAGAGAGAGAGAGAGAGAGAGAGAGAGAGAGAGAGAGAGAGAGAGAGAGAGATGAGAGGAGAGATGAGAGAGAGAGAGAGAGAGAGAGAGAGAGAGAGAGAGAGAAAAGAGAGAGAGAAGAATACTGATAAGAAAGAGGAGTGTAGAGACAATAGGAAAGAGAAAGAAGCGGAACAGAGAGGAAGGAAAAAAGATAAAAAACTAAATTTTTTTATGACAATACTGAGGTGTATTCAGTTACGAAAAAAAAAAAAATATATACCAATACAAATAACAAAGTTAATTGTGTATGCGTGTTTGACGTAAACGTAAATATTTATCGGGGGATTCATTGTCATTTACCAAATAAAAGTTGCCTTTGTTGAACACTTACCCCCTTCCCCCTCCCTCTCGTAATTACCACCATATTCGGAAAACCAAGTGTGACGTCGAGGCAGAGGTCAAGGTCAGAGTGACATACAACAGTCGAAAAAGAGAAAAGGTCCAGGATTGCAGGGTGAGCTGTGATTTTTAAACACGGGTACCCCCCTACGCTTTCCCTTTTCTGGCGATTGTTCCGAAATAGATGAGGCCATAAACGGAGAGCGGGGAGGCCTCCTCCCTCCCCTTCGAATCCGATATACTGACGACGGGAATCAACGGGGAGGGGGGGGGTTGTTGGGTGTACAGCCTTTGTCTGTCTCTCTCCCTGTGCTGTTGTCTGTCTCTCTAATACACACAACACCCAAAACACACACACGGGAGCTATGAATCGCCCTTGAAACCACAATTAGGGAGTACACGCTCATCTTCATAATCAAAACCTTAAAGTTAGTGAAACCCCCCATGCCACTACCCTCCTTTCATTATCTTCCCTTCAACTCCCTATTCCTTTCCTTCAATACCTCCTCCCCTTCCTTAATTTTTTTCCCCCCCTTCCTTTCATTACTTCCCTCGCGCTATCTTCAGCCCTGCCTCCCCTGCTTACTATTTCTTAAATTTAACCCCCTTTTCCCCTAGTGGGTTTTCAGAAACTTTGGTCACTGGGGTGCGGTGGAGCCCCGGAAGGGCTCACATAAAACACGTTTGGTGTGGACCCTCTACCAGCGAGAACAGGGCCCCTGAAATACCACAGATATTTAACACTTTTCCCCTCCTGCGCCAAAACCCTTGTACCCCCTACGAGTTTGGTGAGGGGGGAAGGTAGCAGACGAGTCTGCGGAGCTGGAGATGTTTTACACCTCGTACAATGGCTCGCACCATTTAAAAAAAATGCGTGCTGTACCCCCGTACAGGGGGTCTGCTACACCATTTTTGGTGAAGAAGATCATGTGCCCTTTTATAGGGCGCCCCCACATGTGGCCCGTGAACGCTCTCACTGTGACTTGTCAAAAAGGGTGGCCCCGCATAGGGCTTTTAAAAGCACATACTTGTATAAAAGCGCTCCCTTCGGGAGCCAGTGACGATTTTCCATTGGCGAAAACCCATCTCAGGCCTTCCTTTGGCGAATGTTATTGTTATCCCCCTGCCTTCAACACCCCCACCTTTCCCCTACCCTTTAACACCTCCCCCCTTCCCCACCTTATCACCCCTTTCATTCCCCTCCTTCAACACCCCACCTTCCCCTACCCCTTAAACCCTCCTCTTACACACCTTCAACACCTCCCTGCCCCCCACCTCAAAACCTTACCTTCCCCTTCCCTTTAACACCTCCTCTTGTAAGGTTTGAACCTTATCCGTTTGATTTGTTTGCAAGGGGTTTAAGTAAGTTTTTTTCAGGCTTAACAAAAGAGGTGACGTCGCTATGATTTACAATTAACTATAATTTTTTTGTGAGAAAAATGACGATCGCGTCCAGGGGCAATTTTTTTAGTTCCCTAAATTTCTTTTCTCTTTCACCAAAAAGTCCATTTTCTGTTTGCGTTGCATTTTTCAGCAGTAAAACTATTTCCATGGTACACAAAAAACTAGTAAGTACGTAATTAAAATTGTTCGTTTATGTACAATTACACAATTTCAGATGATTAATTTTTTTTACAGGCGATCAGGTTAAAATTTCTGGGTACCAAAAAACTGGGAGAATTTTTTTTTCCATGGGGTCTTTTTAACTTACAAAAAAAAAAAAAACTTCGTTTTTTTTCTTCAAGT